TTCTCCCGCAAGCCGGACCGTGTCTGTCGGTGTATGTGGGTTCTTTTCAGAATCACGAGTGCCACTAGTGGCTCTTTTGGTGCTGGCGAAGCCTTCGCTTTCTCATCATCGTTGTATTGGTTTTGTGCGCTGATGCTTTGATTGGGATGCCGGCTACATGTGTGCGTCTGGCGGAGTCTTAGAAGCTCGATATCCGCAAGCCCTGAACCTTGAACGATAAGCCTAAACCCCGGAAAAGCAAGCACTTCCTTCTTCCCAGAAGAATAGAAACCCTAGCAAACCTACAAGAGCCCTTCTCGGGAGGCTGTTGACACTGGGGCTCTTGCTCGGAGCTCGGCGAATTTGAGAATTCGTGTTTCGAGCCCTCCTAGACTTGGCGCTTGATGTTATCATCACTGTGTGGCTATTACAGAAAGTGTTGCTGTTATCAGTGTAGTCATTGTTTCGTCGTCGTCGTGATCGTCGCTATGGTTGCGGTTGCCGCGGTTGCCTGCGCTTGTGGTGTTTGTTGTGGTGGTAGTTGTGGCCCCTTGTCGTCGTTGCTGTTCCTGTTTCTACTGGTTGCAGTCGGGCGAGCGTGAGTGTTCCCAGGCCCCTGTCGGCAGCCCTTGGGCCCAGCAGCTGGGCCAAGACGAGGCCGGTAGCAGCTTTATGCCTCGTTCAAGGGGTATAGGACTTAAGGGTTTAAGGATTTAGGATGTGTGATGTTTGGGGGTATGACGGCTTGGATTTCGGAGCCAGCGCCTGCGAATCGATCCCACCAACCCAACCGTAGGTAGTGGTACCTTCAGCCTTGATCCCCAGCTACATCATCCCTAAACCCTAAACCCTAAACCCATTTTGCACAGATCCCCGAAACAGTTCAGACACCACGTCTACTTGCTAAGGCCCTTGTAGTATCCGAAACCCCAAAAGCCCTAAACCCTGAACCCTTAACTTAACTCTAAGCATCTACGTCCTAAACCCCAAGCCCTAACCCTATCTATTTATCTATGTCCCTATTTATCTATCTATCTATCTATCTATCTGTCTATCTAGCTATCTATCTGTCTCTCTATCTATCTGTCTCTCTATCTGTCTATCTATCTGTCTATTTATCTGTCTATCTATCCATGTATCTATCTATCTATCTGTCTATCTATCTATCTATCTATCTACCTATCTATCTATCTATCTATCTATCTATCTATCTATCTAACTACTCTCTCTAACTATTTATGTATCTATCTATCTCTTTATCTATCTCTTTGTCTATCTCTTTATCTATCTATCTATCTATCTATCCATCTATCTATCTGAACGTGCATATGTGTATGTGTGTGTATATATATATATATATGTACTTATATATTCATACAGATAGATAGAGTGCCCCAAACCGCCACATGCTGCGAGGTCGCCAGATCCGGCCTTCGTGGCCAGCCTGGTCTCGCGGCTCGGCAGGGGCTCACTTGGGGTCCAGGGCTTGGACTGTTGGGAAGGCTTAGGGCCTTCGGGTTGAGGGGTTTGGGAGGCTTCGGGCTTAGGGTTCGGGGTTTTGGAGAGTTTTGGGAGTTTGGGCCACGTTGGACAAACATTGGAGGAATGCAGTCGCACTCTGTGGAACAGCCTAGGTATCATCAGGACAAGTTGGAGAATGCAGTGGCCCGGCTTTCCAGTGGCCTGCCCGGCGGGATTCCGGGAAATTCAAGGTTCACTTAACGCCAGGATACTATCCTCAGTGAAAACTGCAACAATTCATGGTAATGAGAACCACGCCGCCGCAATCCGACCTACTGCTGTGAAGAGATGCGTCTTGCTTGGATTATCGCTGATAGTGGCAGGTCGACCATTCGCTGATTGGGTTTTCAACATGGACACATCTGTGCTGCCATCGCCGGTGTCGCGGAAATGGCTAGACAACTCCACCAAGGACGGCTTGGTGCGCCGGTCAAGAAAAAAGTTTAGGGTTCTAAACCCTAAAATCAAAACCCCAATATGATTTATATAAAGTATATTCCTTGAATTTAGGGTTCCCAGGCCGGGTTCAAGAGGGCCGAGGGTGTCGAGGGCAGCTTGTGCTTGGCCAGCTCAGCTCGTGGCTTGCCAGCAAGGACAGCGCGTCTTCGCAGGCGTCCTTGAGATACGTGCCTTGGGCGACGAAAATGCCTTTGAATCACTCTGAATTGATGTGCTGCCCAAGGCTCTGTCGACCTTGGTGCCTTGGAGTCAAACAAGCATGGCGATGTCTTGCTCGAGCGTCCTCGGGAGTCCATCACGGTTTAGGGTTAAGGGGAGCGGTTGGTTGGGTCTGGATGGGTCAGGTTTCAGGTTGAGGGTTGGGAATGCTTTTGCGCGTTGCGGAGCAGAGGGTCGACGGTCAAGAGCTTCGAGGGCTTCGGGTTAACATCCTTCGGGCAAAGTCCTTGGAGTCCTCACAGCAAGTATTGACATATTCAACATCTTGACAAAACCATTAAAGGCCCTTCGGGCCTTCCAAATGCCCTCTATTTCAGACCTCTGGAGGCCTTCAAGTCCCGTAGCTTAAAGCCTTAAAGCTCACAAACCCTAAGCTGTAAGCCCTACACCCTAACACCCTTGAATCCCAAGCCCTTCCCCCTAATACTAAGACCCGTTCCCTGAGGCTCGGGGATTGGCCCGGCTCTCGTCCGGGCCAAGCCTGGCGGATGCCGTCTTCGACGCAGAGTCGGCGAAGCTGTTGGAGCCGCCTCCCAGCTGCCCTTGGTTGGGTCGTGGGGATGTTGGTTAAGATCCTTAGTGTTATATATAATATAATATAATATAA